GTGATTTGTCTAAGGTTGCACAGCTGAGAAGTGTCAGGGTGATCAGCACTCACGAAGCTCATTCGCTGGGAGGCGGAGGGCTTCCCACCAGAGGGTGGAACAGCCACTTGGCAGGGACACGGGATTTACCCAGCAGGTAGGGAGTTCAGCACTTAAGTCCCCTTATTCTATAGTCCACGGGTGTGAAGTCGCCTGGTGACCGGGGGCAGCCTTTTGAGCCACTCTGAGAGGCTCAGGCTTAGGAAACACTGGGCACGGTGTCATCAGCTCCTGGCCAAATCGACCTCCAGAGTTGGGGGGAATATCTCCTAGAACCAAAGAGCAGCTGGTGACAGGTCCCAGGGATGGAAGGACACTGGCATCTCAGCAGTGACAAAACCTGTGCCAACAGCCCAGTGGTGGCCAGGGGTCAGCTCGCCTGCTTGCAGCCTGCCTCCCTGCGCTCCAGGTCTGATTCCCAGGGGACAGCAGCTGGGGACAGCAGCTGGGGACACTTGATTGACAGCTTTAAAGGACCGCATTGAATGGGAAGGGGGGCGGGGGCCAGTGCAGGTGCTCTGCTGGTGGCAGATAGAGGGGACAGATGTCTGCCGGGAAGAAGCCAGCACTGTCCTCTGCCAGGTCTCCCAGGGAGGGACGGTGCCGTGGGGCCTGGGCTGCTGTGAGAAGCTGGGATAGTGACGGCTACTTGTCCCCACTGTGGGATGATTACTTGAGGGCACACAGGTTCTGAAGGTCTCTGTCCCCACTCTGCTCTTTTTCTTCGGTAGGGATTGAACCCACGGGTGCTTAGCCCCTGAGACCCATCCCCACCCTTTTATATATTTTTTTTGACACAGGGTCTCGCTGAGTTGCTTAGGGCCTTGCTGTAGCTGAGGCTGGCCTTGAACTCACAATCCTCCTGCCTCAGCCTCCCGAGCTGCTGGGGTGACAGGCTGCCGACTGCACCAGCCTCCACCCTGCTCTGGTCACTTAAGGACACTGGCTCTGTCAGCCCAGAGCAGCACCCCACAGGAGCCCTGAGTCTCTCGGACTCCTGCCAGGCCAAGCCCTGGGCACTGCGGCCCCCCCTGGCCCTCACCCTTCCCTGCCCTCGGCCTCCTGCACATCCCGCCGGACGCAGGGCTGTGTCTGAAGCCCTGGAGGGTGGTGAGCTTTAGACACACCCACGGGACGCCTCCCCACTTCTGCACCCCGCCTGGTCCTCCTCAGGCTTCGTCATGTGGATGGCAGAGAGACGGGGATTTTGAGATGCTAATGGTGACCACGGTCACAGCAGCACCATCCACAGTGGCCGACTATGGAGCCGGCCTCGGGGTCCCTCAACGGATGAGTGGATGAAGAAACGTGGTACAAATACTCAGAGGCGTTTTATTCAGCCACAAAGAAAACTGAAGAGATGGCAGGAAAGTGGATGGAACTTGAGACCTTTATGTTAAGTGAAATAAGGCAAATTCAGAAGGTCAAGGGTCGCTGGGCACCGTGGCGCACACCGAGGCTCGGGAGGCCGAGGCAGGAGGATCGCCAGTTCAAAGCCAGCCTCAGGAAGAGCTGAACTGTAATGGACTTTTGAGGACGTCCAGGCCCTTCTCGCTAGTTGCGTGATCTTGGGCAGGTCTTTAGTTTCCTTGAGCTTCATCAGAACCGGGATTGTAATAATGCTGGCACACAAACGGTGCTGCGAAAGCAGAAAGTAAATGCCCAGGAGGTGCATAGTGTCGACAGAAGCATGGAGGATGGCAGGCCCAGCTCCATCTCTCTCCCAGTCCTCGTAAGTGGAAAAACAAGCCAACGGCAGATTGAAGGGTGGATGGGGGAAGAGTTGATCCATTAGGAGATTATGCCGAGGTTTTGTTCATCCAACTGAAGAGACAAGAATGACTGGTCACCATCAGAGTTTGGGGTCTTCATCTAAGATGCTGACTGATGAATTGGAGGAAGGCAGAAAGACCAGTGAAGAGGGGGGATGGATGAATAGTGGGAAGAGGCCACAGATGGCAGTTTCAACAAAAGCTTGGTAAAAAAATTTCAAATAATAAGGAGAAGACTGAGAATATAGCTCAGTTGTAAAGTGCTGGTCAAGCTTGTGTGAATCCCTGGGTTCAATCTACAGCATGAATAGAAATCATAAATAGAAGTTAAAGAAGATGGAAACTGGAAAGTTTGGCCATGAAGAATTCTATTTTCAAATATCTTCCTATCATCTGAGTCTCTATTATTTCCGGTTTACCTCTATCTGAAAGAAAATTGGAGGTAATGTCTTTTCTTAACTATTACAGTCTTTTTCATCTGGTGGAGGCCGGAGACCAGAGGATCCTGTTGCCTTGAAAAATTTCTCTTGCGAATGTTTGCTCAGACCTCAGACTTCATCATCAAAGTGTTCTGCCTTTGATTAAGGTAGTGTCTTTTGACAAAATGCAAATGGCCTTTGGAGGAATAAAATGTAACTCCATAATTATCTACCAACATGAAATAATCAACTAGAGAATAAAATTTGGGAGGAATGGCTGAAGCAAGTTGAGGTAGGATTTTTAGGCTGGTGGGGATGTGAGGAAATTAAAACACTATGTGGGCAGTGGCATGGCTTAGGGTATGGTTTGAGTGTGTTCCCTGAGGGTTCATAGGTTTGGTCCTTAGTGAGGTGATGTTGGGAGGTGGTGGAAATCTTAGGTCACTGGTGGTGCTTCCCCCAGCAGGGATTAGGGTGGTTCTCATGGGACCATACATTTGTTCTTGGAATAGTGAGTCTGACTCCCAAATCAATCTTTGGCTTTTGTTGGGATGCAATTTTTTACTCCCATGTGTGCTCGCATCTTGATACCATCTGCCATTGAGTCCTCACCAGAGGCCAAGCCAAAGGAGCTGCCCAGCCTTGAACATCCTCCCTCTAGTCTTTGAATTAAATGAACCTCTTTTCTTTTTCTTTTTTCTTTTTGGTACTGGGAATTGAGCTCAGGGGAACTTTATCACTGAGTTATATCCCCAGCTCTTTTTATTTTTTATTTTGAGAAAGCATCTTGATAAATTGCTGAGACTGGCCTTTCATTTGGGATTCTCCTACCTCAGTGCCCCCACTGGGATTACCGATATGTGCTATCATGTCTTACTGAACCTCTTTTCTTTATAAAATAGTCCACCTCAGGTATTTCATTATAACAATAGAAAACTGATAGAGGTACTTAACAAAAAACTTTGCTAGCATAGTCAGGAGGTCATATCCAGAAAGCAAGAGAGGGAATTTTCAAACAGTTTATTTCATAATTTTTGTCCATAACAATTCTTGTTCTTAAAACCAGGTAAAATAAAAACAATAAAACTGGCAAAACCACCTGAAATCTCTTTTCCAATGCAAAATTGGTTTTCTCTTAAAAGCACCCAGGTGGGAGTGAAAGAACTTAATGTTTGAATAGGGACCAGTTTTTCTATGAGATGAAATTCTTTTTCCTTGGCAGAAGTTATTCTTCCACTCCTTTTTATTATTAAAGAAGACACTATTTTGTCTCTCCATTGGATCACTATGGATGATTAATATAGGACCTCTTAGTTATCTAAACTCCTACCAGAGTAAGTTCTTCATCAGTGTTGGCTGTATGGGCCAATAATGGCAGCTCTTAAGACAGTATGCAGTTGGTTGTTCTAACTAAAAGTTGAGAGATTTAGTCTCTGTAACTTGAATGGTGTAGCCATTCAGCTTCTCCCAATAGGGTCTTCCCACTGAGTAATAATGTGGCAATGGAGAATAGGATAAAATAATTTATTTTGGGCTGGGGTTGTGGCTCAGCGGTAGAGCGCTCGCCTAGCACATGTGAGGCCCTAGGTTCGATCCTCAGCACCACATAAAAATAAATAAATAAAATAAAGGTATTGTGTCCAACTATAAATAAATAAATAAATAAAATATTTAAAAAAAAAAAAGCCAGCCTCAGCAAAATGGAGGTCCTCAGCAACTCAGTGAGACCCCGTCTCTAAATAAAGTACAAAATAAGGCTGGGGATGGGGCTCAGGGGTCGAACGCCCCTGGGTTCAATCCCTGGTAATAAATAAATAAACGGATGAATAAATAAAAGGTCAAGGGTCGTATGTTTTCTGTCATATGCGGAAGCCACGGAGGAGAAAAGAAAAGAAAGATGGGGGATCAGCAGAGGAAAGGGCCCTGGAGGTGGGAGGTGGGGAGGGAGGGGGAGGTGCTGGGGAGTGACACTGGCCACATCATACAGTGACATTGCGTGCAGGTAGGAATCTGTGACGACAAATCCCATCAGTGGGTCCAACTGTAATGCAAGAATAAAAATGTAGAAAAAATAAAAATTAAATAAAATGCTCGTGCTTGGGGCTGGGGGTGGTTGCTGGTCTCAGGCTGGCGGGGACAGCCTCTGGGACTGTCACCCCGCTACCCCGTGGGCTGCCCTCTGCTGAGCTCCTGGGCTCTCTCGGTCACACCATCCCGCCCAGTGGTCAGACCCCAGGTTCAAGGGCAGGGATTCCTTTCCTTGGCAGCACACTGGGACCCTCTTAAAGCCTTGAGACCCGGGGTCTGACGCCCTGAGATTCCGACTTGGCAGGTCTGGCGGGGGCTTTGGGCCTTGGCACAGGAGACAGTTTCCTGACGATTTCTAACGTGCCGACTCCGGAACGGCTGACGGGTCATGGGCCAGTACTTAGGCTCCTGGATCTCCGTCTCATAGGGGAAAGAAGGTTCTGGGGTGGCAGCCCTGTCACGGGCCCTTGGGAGTACTTCAGTGTGGTGAAGCGCAGATGGGGGTTCAAATCCTACATCTTCTCTCCCTGGCTGTGTGCCATTGGGCAGATGTCTCAACCTCTCTGAGATGTAGCTTCTTCATCCACAAAACGGTTAATAAAGACCTTCTCGTTGAGAGGTCCTGTGAGGATTCCAAGGACTAGTGTACAGACAGCCTGCTTCGTGGCCTGTATATAATAAGAGCACAGTAGACGTGGTTGTCAGCATGACCTGACATTTTTCAATTTTTTAGTCTGAATCCTTAGATGGTTGGTGTGTCACTCTGAGCAGACGACTCTGTGAGCAAAGTTGCTTTGATGCTCTGCAGCCTTGGCCCTGGTGACTGGAATAGGGGCACCCGTGTCACCAGGAGAAGCTGGGAATCCAGGGCCCTATATACCCAGACCCGTGCACCCAGTCAGCAATTAAACCACAGGTAATTGGCGATTTCATCCTGGATGTTAGAAATGGTTGGTTGTGGCGATTGTGGATTCTGTTCTATTGTTCCCAAGAGTGTTGATGTTGATGTTTTTGTTTTAACAGGCAACTCAGTGTTTGCATGCCCTGCGGTTGGAGAAAATGTGAAGGAGAACATTCTGCGCCCAGGATTTCTCTCAGGTGCGTGTCATTCTCTATTGTAACCTTGACCTTCATATTCAGTAGTGAGATGCCAGCACGGAGATGGGGAGATACTTCTGACCAGAGGAGCTTCCAGGTCATTCCGTAGGTCTGCTGGACGCTCAGGCTGTCTTCTCTCCACCGTCACACTTAGCGGCTCAGTTCCCCAGGTGCTGCTGTCACCTCCACGTACCACATGAGGAAACGGAGAATCAGAGAGGCCAAGGAACCTGCCCCGGGACACAGAGTGTGAACAGGAAAGTCTTTTGAAGCCTGTTCCGGGGCTTTTGCACCCCCCCCCCCATCTTGGCTTTAAGTTCAGTGAGAGCTGGGAAAGGACTTCTGCTCGTTCCGCATTTCTACTCCTCAGAAAGGGGGAGCAGCCACTGGGTGTCCATTCCCTCCTCCCGTCTGTACGCTTTCCAGCTGGAGTGGGGACGGGCCAGATAGAGACACTCCCAGCAGCTGCCGCTCAGTGGGGCCTGATGACAAGGACACTCTCTCCTCACAGGCAGGCTGGAGACCCGACAGGAGCCCGGCCCACCTTCAACGTGTTCAGAACACTCCTGTGAGTTCCCCATTCGCCAAAGTTCTTCAACGAAACCTGTTCTATAATAGAGGGTCGAGCACTGATCTGTGAATACCCACCTCCAAACACCCTCCCGGTACCCTGGAGACCTGCGGTTCTCGCCCTGCCCATCGATCCTGGGGCTGTCTGGAGGCCGGGGTTCAGAAAGGTATAGCACTGTGAACCCCAACCCCCGGGGCAGAGCAGATCTTGAAATTCAAAGTAGAGCGTCTGCTGAATGCAGGTCACGTTGGTGCCATTGCAAAATTGCAGAATTGCAGTTTAGACCATTAGAAGCTGGGGACCATCTGTATATAGACAGTGGCCCCAGACTCTACCAAGGGGACTAACTCTTTGACTCCTGGGGAAATTCAAGGGTGGGGTGAGAGAGAGGCCATCTTCCACACCCAGTGTCCATGACAGAAGAGGCTGAATGAGCTTCATCAATGATCGGTGGCAGATGGTGCTGGGGTTAGGAGGGACGGTGCTTTGTCCCAGGCTGTTGGGGGGGGGAAGCAGGAATGTTCCTGAGCAAGGGGAGGAAGTTGCGGATCTTGGCGATGATGAGGATGATGAGAGGGGTCAGTTCCTGTCCAGAGCTATTTTTGATGCTGAGCCTCATCTAAGTTCTTCCCCGGTGTCATCACATAGAATCTTTCAATATGGCAGCATGAGCTCCATGTGGCTTTTTAAGTTTAGGTCTAAATTAACTAAAAGCAAACTTAAGGATCATAATCACATGAGTCACCATCGAGTTTTCAATAGTCACTCATGGCCAGGGGCTGTCATGTTGGATTGTGACGATAGTTACAAGATCGTGACACAGTTACAAGAATTGCTTCAAATCTTCGATCATCCCAACATCCGGTTCATCTCAGGTTTGCTTTTGTTAATTATTTTTTTTTCCATTGGCAATGAAAATGGATCCTATCTTCCTGGTTCTCTTTTTATTTATATAATTAATATTTTAAAATTTTGTATGAGTGCCTTATAATTATACACGATACGTTCCGTGTTTTCACATGCGCATAAAATAGCCATGTAATGGCTACTTGTTAAGTGATCTGCGATTTCGTCCTGGATGTTAGAAATGGTTGGTTGTGGCGATTGTGGATTCTGTTCTATTGTTCCCAAGAGCGTTGATGTTGATGTTTTTGTTTTAACAGGCAACTCAGTGTTTTCATGGCAAATGCTGTCTCCCCAGTTAAAAATCTTAGTGGAAGTCTTACCCGTCATCTGCTTTGCGTCCTGTGACTTGTAGTAAGGAGTCAGCCAGGGATTTGGGCACAATCTACACCCAAAGTTTGGCGTGCCCCTTCTCATCTCTCTGCTGTGGCTACGGTGACACCAGGTTCCTCTCCATTATTTCTTTGGCCAGAAAGTTGGCGTCACTGTGTTGTGGGTCAGTTTCCTCCTCCTCGTAGGACAGGGGAACAATACCATGTCTTCCTGGTGAATCACGTCGTCATCGTGATAAAAATGGCTTAATTCATGTCAATGCAGTTCACCGTCCTGACGTGTAGGGGTTTGTTCTAGAAGTCACGGTGAGCGCTGAGTCAGCAAGTACTGGCCCATCGTCCCACAGGAAGCACTGGGTAAGTTCTTGCAGGTCTCTGGCTGCTGTTCTGTGGTGTGCGCACGTGTGTCAGGCCTGGGTGAGTCTAACCTCGGGAAGCTGACACTTAGAAACCCTAGACCATGCTCCAGGATGACACCTGGGGCCATTCCTAACAGTGAAGTCACCAATGCAAAGTCCAGAAGGCAAAAACACCCCCTTCAACAGACTGTGAAAAGGATGGTCTTATAGTCTGAGAGCTGACAGAGAGGGTAGATGTCACCTTGTTGGAACATGTGTTGGAACATGGGGACTCAATTTTCTTTTTCTTTTCTTTTTTTTTTAGGTACCAGGGATTGAACCCAGGGGTGCTTAACCACTGACCCACATCCCCAGCCCTTTAAAAAAATGTTTTATTTAGACACAGAGTCTTGCTGAGCTACTTATGGCCTCCCTAAGTTGCTGAGGCTGGCTTAGAATTCACGATCCTCCTGCCCCAGCCTCCCCAGCTGCTGGGATTACAGGCGTGCGCCACTGTGCCTGGCTACACTCTTTTAACCTCAGAAATTCAACTCTGTACTAGCTAGACGTCTCGATCGCAAGAAACAGAAGCTGGTGTCTGTCATTAGGAGCATAAAACCCGTTTATTGGGAGGACATTGGGAGCTCACTGCATTGGTGGGAGAGTGGATGGCCGGGTGAGAAGGGACATAATGCAGGGCCAGGGGCAGCCTTGGAGATGACCTGTAAAGGGGCCACACCTGGCTCGGCTGGATGGATGCCCTGGGTCAACCTGGCTCTTGTCCCAGCTGCCAAGAGTGATCTCTCTTGGAATAGTCGTGCCATAATTCGAAGCCGAGCCCCGGCCAAAGGACTGGCTGGTCAAGTTGCTCTGTCCTGCTTCCCCTGGGGGCTGGTGGGTTTGGAGATTGCTCTTCCCCGGAGCACTTCCCCTAGAACGGCTCAGATACCTGGAGGACAAATGTCCACCGTGGGTTAGGTGGAGCAGGGGAGGAAGAAGAGAGGGAGAGACCAAGGAAGGGGGCGAGGGAGGGAGAGGGACCGGGCAGCCGTGCTCTGCCGCGAGCAGGAGGTAGGTGAGGTGTGGCTCTTCCTGCAGGCTCTATGTCCTCCCCATGAGACGCTCATGTCCTCCTCCAGAGGATACCTGCGTGCAAATCTGCTGCCTGGTGTGGGGAGGGCTGGGCTCTCCTACAGCCCAGCTGTTCCCAGCAGGATCTTTAACTATGATTTTTTTTTGCGGGGGGAGGGGGGGAGTTTCATTGCTGGCACAAGGGATGCTATCCTTGTGGACCTACTGTGCGCAGGTGCCTCTGTGGGCTCTTTGCACACTAGTCCCTAATCCTTCTTCAGTCCTGTTAGGTAAGTTTGATTGCTATTGTCCCCACTTTGCAGATGTGACTCAGAAATCATGAGTGCAAAAAAAAATTTTTTTTAAATAAATGCTGTCTCAACCTAGTTTTGAGGTCCTGGCCAGAGACTGGTCACTTAAGCCCCACACGCCAGCCACTTGCCTTATCGGGATCTCTCACACTCTGGGGATACTATGTGCCAGCCCTGATTGTGTCCAGGCCACAGAAAACCAAGGGTCAGCCCCTGTGCTCCAAGTTCTTCAGATCGCTGACTAGACCCACAGGGAGTCCTTGACGCTTAGCTAGGTCCACCTGTCTGCCACACATCAGCTGCCCCTACAGCTCTGGCTTCCTGTTGTTTTGTCCCCAGGTGCAGGCCCTCTTGTGGCCCTGCGCGGTGGCCGTCTCTCTTTTGTACCAAAGAGTTCTGCTTTTCACCTGTCGGAGTGTTACCCTATTGTGTTTCCCCATCGAAAGACATTTTAATCTTTTTTTTTTTTTTTGCACTGGGGGTTGAACTCAGGGCACTCAACCACTGAGCCCCGTCCCCAGCCCTATTTTGTATTTTATTTAGAGACAGGGTCTCACTGAGTTGCTTAGGGCCTCGCTTTTGCTGAGGCTGGCTTTGAACTCACGATCCTCCTGCCTCAGCCTCCAGGGCCACTGATGACAGGTGTGCACTAGGACCTGTCACTCTTATGAGGCAGTGGTACACTCCAGCCTCCAATATGCCGGTCACAGAGAAAGCGTGGTGTAAACAGAGTGATCAGGGCAGGGTTGTCCACTGATGAAGACCCTTCCGGCCTTTGGGCTGAGCGAGGACAGGTGCAGGGTCTGTCCTAGTCCTGGCATGTCCCAGCCCCCAGACAGCACCTGCTCAGAAAGCACCAGCTAATTGCACTGCCTTCAGTGGGTGTCCCCTGCCTCCTGGGGGGCTGTGCTGTGTGCACAGACACTGTCCCTTTCGAGGCTGAGTTGATAATACCGCGAGAAGACGGGTCACGCGTGACGCCTGCCGATCCCCGGGCTCCCCAGCCTCTCTCTAGCCTTGATTCACTCTGAGGTTTAGTCTGTGGGAACGTCAGGTCCGTGGCCACTTGTCTTCACTTATTTTGTGACAAATAGCATTTCTCTCTGGTGAGATGACTCAGGTGACTATTCGGTTTACAAGGAGAAGCCTCCGGATCTCCTGACTTGGACACCAGTGACCAGTGAATGTGGCTGAGATTCTTCAGCCACGGCAGGGGGATGCTGGCTTGGGAGACGCAAGTGGGTGGACGGAGGAATGCCACGCCCCTCTCCTGGGGACCATTTCCCCATCTCTACCACGAGGGGATCAGACCTCTCCGGAGCGAGAGGGACAGGATGTGAAGGGGAGTGGACACCACAGCCAGATGTTGGGCTCCACTCCCAGCTGTGTCCCCTGGTTGGCTGTGTGACATCGGCCAGGGTCCATCTCCCTGAGCATCTGGGTCTCTGTGGGTGAGACAGATACAGAGTAGTAAGGATGTCACAGGGTGATGGCAACCTAACGTTGGATCATTTGCATTTAGTACCTTGAACCTGGAACCTAGGAGATGCTCAATATATGTTAGTAGTAGTAGTAGTAATAATAATAATAATAATAATAATAACAATTATGATAGCAAATTGGGTGAGGGTTCAGGGAGGAGCAGGAGGACCGTCCCAGCATATCTCCAAATCAAATAAGTCATCACTGTTAGTGTCTCAGGGCTGCTGGAGCCATGACCACAGATCTGAGGGCTTCTAAGAACACAGGTTTCTTTCCTTACAGTTTTGGGAGCCAGAGTCTGGCATCCATTTCGCAGTGTCAAAATGAAGGCGGCCAGTGGGGCCACCTCTCTTTGGAAGGTCTGGGGAGGAGCCGTCCCCAGTTCTCTCCCAGGTTTGGAGGCTGCTGGGATTCCCCGTCTTGGGACCACGTCACTCCCGCCGCTGTCTCTGTGGTCACAAGGGCGCCTCCTGGTGTCCATGACCTCCCTCTGTCCCCTCCTAGAAGGACACGTGTGGGGCACTTGGGGTGCCCCCCGAGGGCCTGGATGATCTCCCCAGATCAAGAAACGTAACTATCCTACCTGGAGAGACTTTTTTTCCATATAAAGTGACGTTTTCAGGTTCCAGAGGCTGGAGTTGGTCTTTGGGGGCTGGTTCAACCTGCTACAGTCACTAAGAGAAAAATAGTGACTTCAGGAGGGAGGACCCCGGCAGACACCGCCAAGAGACCAAAACGCACGCAGGGGCGAGTGAGCGTCATGTGCCTCCTGACGAGGGTCACCGAGAAGGACACAACGTCATCCTGTGATATCTCCTCCCAGATTGTATGATACGAACCTACTCACAATGGGACTGGAACACCAGATCCACACAGAGGGGACTGCTGGCGAAACCATCGGGACGACATCTTCCAAAATGCGAAGGCCATGGAAGACACCGACACACTGAGGAACAGTTCCCCACTGTCCACCCAAGAGGACAACCATGAGCAACCTGGGACCCTCGGTGGGTCTCCGGAGCAGACTTTCTTTCCTACGAAGTGCAAGGTAGG